AGAATGCAGGAGGTATAATTTTATACTGCTCTTTTCTATATGATCATTTAAAAATCCTCATACATATTTTCTATTGTCCCAGGCATTATGCAGAGGCATTCCATATTTTATCAATTAATTAATTTTTGTTTTTGAGACAGGATCTTGGTATATAATTAAGACAGGCCTTGAACTCACTATGTGGCCTCGACTGTCCTGGAACTCCCATAATCCTCCTGCCTCAACCACCAGAGCGCTGGGGTTACAGGTGTGCGCCACCACACTCGGCTCAGGGTCTCTATTTAGGAGGAGATTCCATACTTAGAATACCAGGACTGACTCTGGTCTTTTTAATGTTTCTGTGCAGTTTGAATGAATGACCGGCTTCAACCAAGATGATCCTAAGGAAGGGTGCTGGATCAGATCTGTGCAGTGACATCAGTGTCAGACTTTTCTCCTCCGAAGCTTGAGAGAGAAATCGCATTATTGAAAGCGTGCAGTTTATGCTATTTTTTAATGACAGATCAAGAGCTCTAACTCATCCACTCAAAGTTGTGGAAACTTTGTGGGAAAACATTTTCTCCCGTTTGCTTTCATTATAATTAAAGCACTGCGAACATTTCCCCTTCCCTTCTCCTCCACCTCCTTCTTCATCTTTTTTCCTCTGTACTTGGGAGTGAAACACACAGCCTTCACACTAAGCTGTGTCCCCAGCCCCTTTTATTATTATTCTTGAAGTTTTGAGACAAGGTCTCCATAAGTCACATAATTCATCAATTTAGGCCGGTACTTGCCACCCTCCTGTCTCAGCCTCCCAGAATGCAGGGTGGACAGGCATGTGTCATCTGGCTTGGATGTCTTTCTCTTCTGAGTGTTTATGTTCTCTGTGAGCACTTTGAAAAGCTGAAATGATTCCATGCCTGATATTTCTGGATTGGTTTTTGTTCTTTTTAGACTTTACAAATTGTTATTAGTGCACATTTGCCACACATGATGATTGCATCCATTGTGGGAAATAAGAACATGTGTGTGACACACATGACACGTCTTAACTTTTTTTCACTTCTCCTTCCTCTCGTTTTTCAATTTTTTTTTTTTTTTTTTTTTTTTTTTGGATGCCAGAAATCAAACTCAGGACCTTGCACTTGCCAGGCAGGCACTGTGCTGCTGAGCTAAATCCCAGGCCCTCATTTTTAGATTCTTAAGGGTCTATTCTTCATCTGTCTAACCTGAGTTCACAGTAGCAAGTAACGTGAAAGAAAATAAGGTAGAGGTCATCAAAACAGGCACAGAGGAGGGTTCTAAAGTCTGGCAAAGATGTACAGAAGATAGGAGAACTTGATGGAAAATAACTCAGGCACATTTAGTCAGCTTTCATATTCTTGCCCTGGGAAATGAAGTTTCTGGGTCCATGTACAGTTGGGCTGTGTTACATTATGGTATTTGAGCAATCTTGGGTAAAATTTGAATCATATTTTAAGAATTTGTAGTGTATTACCTACTGAAAGCAAAATAAAAGGGGAGATCATATTAATGAAATCAAAACATGTATTTTGCCAAGAATATTACTATAGATGCTAAATTTTCAAGATCAACTGAACAACTTACATTGTATGTAAAATATCCTGAGAGGTCAATTGTATATGGCTGATTGATGATTTTTTTTTGTTCCCTTCACGTTTTTACATAATGTTGTTTGTAATTCATTTCTTCAAGATGTTTTTATAACTGCCAAATCCACATTCTAGGTAGAACCTGATGCTCTGTATGATTTCCACTGTTTTCGTTCAACTCAAATTATCAATTTGTTTTTGAATATCTGGAATCTCTGACCTTGTGGTCTACGACCCTGAAAATATTATTTGTAAAGCCATTTACATTGTGAGTTATTACTGAGCAATGTTCATTATTTCCTGTCATTGCCCTTTTTTTTTCTGTTGCTGGTTTCTTTATCTTTTCCTTTTGATTGACTACTCACTTTTTAGTACTGGTTTGCTAGTCATGAGTTTCTTAAAGGGCTCTTTGAAATAAAGAAGAAATTCTTTATTTCTCCCTCAATTTTGAAAGATGTTTTTTGCAGGATGTTATAATGTGCATTGAAGGGCTTTTTTTTCTTTTTTGAATTTGATACACTCCTCCAAGCTCTCCTGGCTTTAAACTTTGTTCTGAGAAATCTGCTGTTATTCTGATTGGTTTGTCTTTATATGTTACTTAATATTGCACTGTAATGGAGTTTACTATTCTTTCTTTGTTCTGATGTTCTTGGATTTTCTATAATGTGTTGTGGAGAGATTCTTTTCTGGTCATATCCACTTGGAGATTTAAAGGCCTTATTATCTGTATGTCCATTTCAATCTCTGGATTTGAAAGTTTTCTGCAGTGATATTGGGGAATAATTTTTTATACTTTTACATCTTTCTCCAGCCCTTCACTGACTTCCATAATTCTTAGTAGTGTCATGTAGAGTCATCTATGAGCTCTCAGATCAACTTCTCCTTTTTTTTTTTTGTTTCAAAGAGAATCACTAAGTCATTGACTGCATCATTCTTGTCCTACATTCTGATGTTTCTCTTCTGATTGGTCCTATCTACCAGTCTGGCTTTTAGTTGTGTTTTTCATTTCCAGGACCTGTGCTTTATTTTTTTATATAACCATAAATTCTTTACTAGGTTGTTCATTCATATCTTTAATTGTCTTATTCAATTCAATCGGTTGTTTGTGTTTTCTTTAAACTTGTTGAGCATCTTATTAATTAAAACTTTCATCTGCTTATTTACATCCTCTTTGAGTTCACTAAACATTGCATGCAGTTTCTTCTTGGATCTCCTCAAACACTGAACCATTTGCTTTATGAGTTTTGTCCTGGACACTTCCTCCATTTTATTGCCCGTCAGATAGCTTTAGGGGAGTTATAAAAATTTGAGACATTTCATTTTCTTCTTTTTCATTATTACTGCCAGGGAATAATGGTGAGTTGGGCTAGAAAGAACTGCTGGTGGAGATTCCTAGCTCTGAATTGCAAACAGAAGACAATTACTGGTAATATCTGCCTGCAAAGAACCAATCATACATATGTATATAATGCAGAGCTAGTTTATCAAGTGTTGTGCCCTTACAATAACCCAGGAGAACAAAAGATCAGACATGATAGAGAAAAAGGCTCTAAGATACAAGATAAAAAGGATTTAAAAATAAATCAAAGAAGAATAACTGAGAAAAACAGGAGACTGAAAAGAAACAAAATCTGAGAGAAGAAATCAGTGCTTGATGATATTATTTTTATAGGCATAAAAAGGGGAGTGGGAAGGGAGTTTTGACAGGATCCATGTGAGAGAAGAGGGAAAAGAGGAAAGGGGCCGATTTATAGGTAGAAAAGTAGTGTAGTCTTTATGGAGACTCTATCCAATTTATAAACTGGATGAAAACCTACATTAAAAGACTTAAGTAACAAATTTTGGTGAGGGAGAACTTGACAGTTCAATGGAAAACTTTTTAGAAAACAACATTTAAAACTCATTTGCAGTTGTTTATAAACATATGTCTCTCACATGCCCTCTAAAATAGAATAAACCAGAAAGATTAGGTTTTAGTAACAGCTTCTATATACAAAAAATGGGGAGGAGGGCACTGTGCAAATCTGCGAGTGGAGGGAATGGGGGTAAGAGAGCAGGGGGAGGGGGAGACCTAAGTGGATCCTGAAAGAGGAAAGAGGGAGATGGAGCACAATTCGTGACCCAACTAATACTATATTAATAACACTATAAAACAACCCTTGTCAAGGAGGACCCTAATGTGATGTGTTAAAACCCTATAGAACTTAGATTACTCTAAATGGTTTCTGTATAAAAGAAAGGCATAGGTAGAAAGGGAGAGGCAAAAAATAAGTACAAAATCTAAGATGGAAAAGCTGACAGAAGAAGGTGTAAGGGGAAAATAATTCAGGTAAGGAAAGGATGAAATTGTAGATGGGAGGTGACAAAAGAGATAGGGACAGCATATCCAGCTGCTGAACCAAAATTCAAGCAAGATTAGATAACATTCAGAAATACCCTCTGAAGGGGGCCTATGTGATTTACTGATATAGGAGAAGGAAACTCCCAACCTGCTAGATATCGGGTGGGAGTTCATGTTCTCTAAAATTGAAGAATGAACTTTAGGAACAACAGAGGTTAAGTGCAGAATATATTTATTGGAGGAAAGAAAGTTTCTGTCCAAGAGAGGGACAGAAGTGGTCCAGAATGGGTTGCCAAGGACCCTGGCTTTCCTAGGAATTTTATAGAGCAGAACCAAGAGATGAAGCGGGTCCAAGGTAGGGAAAAATGGGAAATCTCATGGTGGGCATGAGGTGGGACAAAACTATGCTCAACCAGTAAGATTACAAGCATAATTACTCAGATAAAATTGATTAAATCAGGATCAAATAGGGAAGCAAGTCACATAGCAAATGAGCATGAATATAGAACAGGGACGTTCCCTGTAGGGGGTTGGGTTAAATAACCCTTTCTGGCTTTTTCAGGGTAATAGAGACCGATTTATCAATCCCTGATGTTTATCCTTAGGGAGGTACATTTGTTTTATCTTTTGTCTTGAGGTCTGGCCCTCATGAGGCACCTTCTCCCCTACAGTTGCAAGGCATCTCCTCTTCTGCACTGGTTCCTTCGAGGGCTCAGTCCTATCTGACTGCCTATGATATTTCTGTGCAACTCAGTTGCCTACAACTTTGCTACATGGAATGCTTTACAACCAACAGTAGATTTATACACATAGGTAGAACCACATAGCCCAATATACAAAGGCCTGGCATTCAACCAATCAAATAAAAAAAAGATCACACACACACACACACACACACACACACACACACACACACACAGCCACACAGGCACACCAGAAAAACTCACAAAGGCTGCAATGCACAGGAGCCTCTGGTGACCTCAGAACTCTCACAGATCCCAACTGTTTCTCCCACTGACAGGAGGCAAACAGGTTCCCAGCTGTGATTCTGCTGTTTCCTCATCCAGGTTCCCTCGCGCAGCTACCTGTGCTCTGTGCGCAGTCTCGTCCAGGTTCTGCTCGGCCTCCCCGTGGCTGGCAACCTCACTGGGCCCGGTGGTCAGGCAGGAGGTGAGAACCCCACCCCTGTATGCCGTTCTGAGGACTTCTCTCTGTCCCTTTACTCCTTCTTGCCGGTTTCAATTAGGCCAGGAAAGTAATGGTTTCCGTGGGCCTGCAGGAGGTAATCTCTATAGAAACGGAACTGGACTGTTTTCTCCACTAGGAATGATTGCTTGTCCAGGCGGTTCAGCTTTACAGTCTCTCTCTATTGTGTAAATTTAGTGGGATTTAGGGCTCTGTAGAAGAGAGCCCTTCTGCATGGAATTTAGTAGCATCTGAGGGGTGCAGGCGAGAACTCTCAGGGGTGAGGAGCTCAGCTGCTTTGTGGGGTTGTGGGGAGAGAGTTTGCTCTGGCACTGTTTTGGGTGTCTTCTCCACCCTAGCACCCCACATGTCACACTCACTGCAAGGCCCTGTGGCTCTGTCTCACGGATTTCTCAATGCTTGGTGCAGGGTCCCTAAGTAGGATGGTGGCTTTGTCTCTGTCCCTGGGGATCCCTGATGCCTGGTCCTACCTCAGTCCCTGCTATCTTTCTGATTCTCTAGCTTGCAGTTGCCTTAGTGCCCTGACCTGAGGCAGCCTTCCCTTGTGAACAGCTTACTCAGGGGGCTCTGTCTCCGGGTGGGAGGCAAGTTAGGACAGGAGGGCATTGGGCGGCAGACGCTAGTCTGGGCACCAGTGAGTCAGGAGGTTCTGATAAGTCCCTGAAGCTGCCCTGTTCCTGAAAACGGACTGAACACAGGAAGAAATGGCACCAAGAAGGTTTAGGAAGCAGTTTATTAGATGTGTGGGCCTGACTGGGATCTCTCCCAGAGTCAAAGCCTTGCCTGGCAGGGTATCAGGAGTTTTATGGGGAGAACAACCCAGGCAGATTTAGTGCATTATGATTGGAGGCTTAGGTGACATCACAGTTGCCAAGATTGCCAAGGGAGTTTAAACATTTAAAGTTGCATTGCAAGGCCATCAGTTAAACAAGCATGGGTTATACAAAGGAAGAAATGTCCTTTCTTAGGGCTTGTGGGATATGTGCGCCTGGTTTAGCTGGCATTCTGGGCAGGCTTTCATTTAAAATTTCAATTTCTCTTTCAACCCAGAATAACTAGTTTCTACTGAGCAGAGTCCTTTTTAAAGAACAGAATGCCCTGGCATAATTCAGAGTAGGTACTTTTCCTCTCCCCTGCCAAATTAGGGGCCATTTACTCTGAGATCCTTGTTGCTGTCCTGGAGGTAAAACTCACAAGAATGTGAGTGTCCCCCATGACTGGTTAAATAATAAGAAGGAAATACAAGTTTAGATACAAACATTATAGGCCTTTTACTTAATTTTCTTCTTATTCATTATTTCAAGTAAAGTCATTTTTGCGCATTTGTGACTTGATTTATGCTCCAATTTTAATAAAATCCCAGGGATTTGCAAAGTACACAAGGAACCTGGGAAGTCCCTCACTTTGTGTTCAGCCTTCTCCAGGGCGCAGGTCCTCGTCTCTTACGGGTCTTCTCACCCAGTCTCATCTACTGACTCCGCAGACACTGGGTTGCCTCTCTTTCCCACCACATTTGCCATGTGAAGGCCACTGCAAGTGACAAGGTCATGGATGGGTTGTGCTTCGTAGGTAGCTGAGGCAGCCAGGGATACGGGCCTTAGTGATAACTCGTTGCTCTCGGTGCCTCATCCTCTTCCCCTTGCCTGCCCCAGACAACCTGCTGTGCTGCTCCCCAGACAAGTAACTCTCCAGGGCAGTGGTCCAGCCCAAGCAAGAAGTTTGTGTTGGACTCTAACACCACAGGAAGCACTTGTCAACCTTGCACACAGCAATAAACTCCAACCTCCTCAGCTTCCATGCTGCTGATTCTGAGCGTGCAATCTGTCCCTGACCCACCGCCACTGCACCGCTCTGAGACCCAAAAGTGCTGCTTAAAAATCTTATAAATCATATGCTGTGGAGCCTGGCCTGGCTTGTGTAGAAGGCAATTCAAGTAGATGTTCCTGTCACTATGCAGGAGGCTCTGATTGACCTGCAGGAGACGGAGGCCGGGTCCAGTGGTGATGGGCAGAGCGAGTAGATGCTGGGTCCTCTCACTATTCCCAGTGTATCCCAAGATAATGAAGGAGAAGGGTCAGCTCATTTTCATAATTTTATCTTTTCTGTATATTTCAAGCTAAATTATTTCTGTGACTTTGGTATTCAAAGCAAAATATTCAATTTTTATAAATTAATTAAGTTACTGGTACACTTTGTAGGTATACATAATGATCACAATCTTCATAGGGTATTTGTACCAGTACATGATGTCACTTGATATTTTTTCCCATTCTCCTCCCCTCTCTTCAACTTGATCTCTTCTTTACTTACAAAAGCTTTGTTTCCAGTTTTCCTTTTCTCATTTTTTTCATTTCCCTTCCTTCCCTCCTCCCCTCTACCTAGTTCCCCTCCCCATTTGAACATTTCCTTACTATTTCACAATATCTATCATACCTTTTGCTCTTCATTTACTTTTACTTTCTCATAGCAGAGAAACAATGCATTTGCACTTGTGCGTCCAATTTACTTCACTTAAGAGAGTGGTTTCAGTGTGCACCCATTTAGCTAGAAATGTCTCACATTTATTCTTTTTGTGGCAGAGTGACAGTCCACTATATTAAAAAACCACATAATCTTTATCTATTCATCAGTTGAGAGGTATTTGGGTATTTTGGGGAAGTTGAGAGCCAAACTTCCAAGGTTTGGCTACTACAAACTGTGCTGGTTTCACGCTCATTTTATTTTTCTGAAAAACATAGAATAATTCTTCCTCTACCTACTCATCCCTTTTGTTGATGTTGAGCAATCACAGTCATGAGTCCACAAGGCAATGGAGATTCCATGTGTTACCAGAGCCAGAGTGAGCCACGTGTTTTAGGATTTCAGGATAGTATGCATCTATGGCTGAGATTTTCCGGGACCTCCCTGCAGAGTGGTCACTATGGCAAAGGTACTGGGTCAGAGCTGCTCAGGGACTTTCATCATGGACTTCCAGTCCCCAGTGCTGGGAGAAGATAAACCTGTGTTGTTTTCAGTCCAAAATTTTATTGTAGTTTCTTACAATAGCTAGGTAATCAACACACCCAGTAAGCATTGTGGAAACTCTGTGAGAATAAGTAAAAAGTATTCTGTCATGTTTCCTGTAATTACAAATAAAATAAAGTAAAACAAGATGTGGATTTTTAATTTTCTGAGTCTATACATGCTAAATACTGTGAGAAGCAGTCATGTTTACATGATTTCTCTAGATATTTAAGATCTTATTCTATCTGCCTAAATTGAGTAATAGTAAATGAAATGAAAGAAATTCATGTTCATTAAAGCAGTAACACAGCCAAATTATAAATTTAAATAAAGATGCAGAGATAATAATAACTTGTTAAAACTATATTTGGGTAGATTTACTGGTCTTTCATATTCATAACCTTCGATCTGAGGAACTTCCTTAAACCACAGGCTATTTTTCTCTGTCATTTTTTTTTTATTTGTTTGTTTTTTGGGGTTTTTTCCAGTACCGGGAATCGAACTCACAACCTCCTGCTTGCCACGTAGGTGCTGTGCCACTGAGCTAAATCCCCAGGGCACTCTCTGTCATTTTATAGTGTCTGAGTAGTTCTAAGTGAAACTTGAGTTGCATTGTGAGTTTAATATTTTATGTATCAGAAAAAATACTGCAGAAAATAATCTATTCAAAAAAAATGGTCACTCAAACTGATCAAATGGAAAAATTGAAACACAACTTTTGTTGTCAATAATAGTTCTGGCTTAATGATAAAGTTTTGAGATCAGTTTAATAATTTGTGTCGTACGTAATATTCCCTGAGATGCCAATTATATACACTTGCCCAATCTTTTCTTAACATTTTTAGTTTCCTGTAGTTTGCATACAATATTTATTTTATAAATTGTTTGTTAAATACATTTTCACAATTCCTGGATCTAAAGTTTGGACAGAAATTTTGCTCCCTGTAAATTCTATTATTTTTCATTCACACTTAAATTATATTTTTGTTTTGGGATGTCAGGTATCTCTGACTTTGTGGTCTACTGGCCCTTGAAAATAGATTGTAAATTCTTGAGAATTTAGGGTGGTCGTGCCCTCCATGAGAGAAGTTTTCACTTTCATCCATAAGGCTATACTCACTGATTTTAAAGTTGACAAATTCTTTTTTGTTCTATTTTTTATTTTAAAGGAAAAGAAACCAAAAAACACAATAAACACATAAACATAAGAACAAAATTCCAGAACAATATGATAGGAGGGTAAAAATGGAAAGTTAACAAATTCTAACCCCGGCACTTTTGGAGAAAATGTCCTTGGCAGTGTTGGTCTGCAGTCACACTTTCCAGAGAAACTTGTTTTGTTCCTTCTCCATTTCCCAATTTACTTAGAGCCAGTTTTTAGCTCCTAGTTGTGGGAAGGACAGGTAGCAATTTCCCTTTGATTCACAATTCTGATCCTCAGGTTAAACTAGGGTGCCACAGCATTCACAGAATGAATTCTCAGCCTGTCCTGTAGCTGTCCCCCGTGCACGGGGATGGAATCTGGATCTCACGTGTTTCCTGTGTTCCCCAGTAGCTTGAGGTAAAAGGCAGCTTGGGATTTCAGAGACATTTGCTCCAAGAGTAAAAACTTGGCCCTAGAAGTTAGCATCTTTTTTTTCCCCTTTCTTTTCATCATCCCTTTCTTCCCTGAGCTCATTCTCCACTCATTCCTTCCTCTCCCTTTCTCCGTTGTCTTTTTTGTTCTTGTTTTTCTAGCAAGTTTTAGTATTTCACCAGAATTGTTAAGATAAGGTAGCTAGCCTGTGATTTCTGTAAAACTAAACCCCATTTAAATACACTGTTGACTTACAAGAGATGCCTTTCGTGACGCCATCTACAGGTTTTGCAATATCAGAGCTTCTAAGTTGACCTCTTTGGTCATGCAAACAAATGTTCTGTGATGGTATTTTTGGCTCTTGATTTAATCAGATACTTTCACAGCTCAATACCCCTGCAGTTCGCTTCTTTATTTGCTGATTCCTTTGCATAGGTCACTCCCAGCCCAGTCCAGCTGCACAGATTCTATAAAAGGAGCCTTTGCAATGAGATCTGAACTGCATCACACCAGGAGGGACAGCAAGATGGCGTCCCGGACACCAATCTTCCTGGCTCTGTTGCTCTGGGTCTCTGGTGAGAAACTGCAAATCTCCATCATCCCCTCAGATGGGTATCTTTGTGGAGTTGAAAAATAACCTTAAGGGGGCTGGGGATTTAGCTCAGCGGCAAAAGCGCCTGCCTGGCAAGCACAAGGTCGTGAGTTCAGTTCCTGGTACCAGAGAAAAAAACAAAAAGAAAAAAGAAAAATAACCTTAAGAAGAAGTGGGAAAGAATGACCATTTCTAATATGAACACAAATATGTGCTAACTCAGAATAGCATTAGAAAGAATATTTTAAATGTTTAATTGCATTTTTATATGAGAAAAATCTTGTACATATATGTATGTACAATCACTGTTCATTCCTGATTGCAGGTGTCTGTGGTGACATTGTGATGACCCAGTCTCCAGGCTCCCTGTCAGTGTCTGTTGGAGAGAGCGCCACCATCCGCTGCAAGTCCAGCCAGAGTCTTCTATACAGTAATGACAACAAGAACTACTTAGTCTGGTACCAGCAGAAAGCAGGACAGTCTCCCAAACTGCTCATCTACTGGGCATCCACCCGGGCATCTGGGGTCCCAGACCGGTTCAGCGGCAGTGGGTCTGGGACGGATTTCACTCTCACCATCAGCAGAGTGCAGGCTGAAGATGTGGCCAGTTATTATTGTCTGCAGAGTTATAGTACTCCTCCCACAGTGATTCAGCCTCGAACATAAACTTCCTCTCAGGATCTCCCCAGCTGCTTGCTGCCTGAAAGACAGTGCCTTGCTCCAATGCATGAGAGATTTTGCAGAGCTTAGTAGAAAATAAGGGGTCTCAGGATCTCTTTATTCTTTTGTTATGAGAAGTCCATATGGGAAATGTAGTAAAGACCTCTGTAGTAGTTTTCTGTTGCTTATGTATTAATTTAGTGTAGGCTCAGCAGCTTTAACATAAGAAATTCATCATTTTAACTCTTATGGGAAAATATCTAGAAAGGAAATAATTGGGTCAAATGGAACATCCAGTTCTACTTATTTGAAGAATCTCTATACTGATTTCCATAGTGATCATATCAACTTACACTCCTCCCAACAGTGGAGAAGAGTTCCTTTTTCCTATAGCCTCACCAGCTTTTGTTATTGGTTGACTTCTTGATAACAGCCATTCTTTCTGGAGTGAAATGGAATCTCAGTGGTATTTTAATTTGCATTTCTTGAATGACCAGTGATGCTGAACATTTTTTCATATATTTGCTGTTTGTACTTCATCTAAGAAGTGTCTATTTCTTTCAGATGCTCTTTTTTGGACTGGGTCACAGTAATACATGCACACCCATGTAAGTGGCACACTATGTGATAGCTAACTCTTGGAAACAGTCCATATGCTCATTACCAGATGACTGGATAAAGAAAATGCAGTTTTTATACACAATGGAGTACTACTCTGCCATAAAGGAGGATAAATGAGACATTTTTAGGTAAATGTACACATCTTGAGAACATAATTTTAAGTGAAATAAATTGGACATGCATGTTTAACTATTGCATTGTTTCTCTTGTGTGAGAAACCCAAAGTCTAAATAAGACCAACATGGAGGATAGACATTGAGAAGTAGGAAGAAAATATTCAAATAAGAAGGTGAACATGGGAGGTGGCATGGGGATGGGAAAGAAGTGAATAGGGTTAAAAAATAAAAACAATGAAAGGGAAACAATAGAAACAAAGTTCTGTAGATGGAGAGGGGAAGAAGGATTGAGAGGAATGGAGTGGGAAAAAAAAGAATTATGATATATTCTGTAGAGGTACAAACTCCCTATGATGAATGTAATTAGTATGTAGGTCAAAAGTTACCAATAAAATTCATTAAAAGAAAAAGAAATTTCATCATTTTCTAGTTCAGACTCAATGGGTTAAATCCAGATGCTCTCAGGCTGCACTCCATTTGGAGCCTCCAGGAGTGAATCTTTCCACTGCCTTTCCTGCTGCTTGAGGTCTCCCACGTTCCTTGACCAGGAGCCCTTTTCCTCTAAATTCAGAGCCAGCACCATATCATCTCTCTGACACGTGTTCCAGCATCACATCATCCTCGAAGTTTTCTTTCTAACTTCACACTAATGATGAGTGTAGTTTCTGTAACATGAACGATGGCTCCTGTGCTGTACTTGGCTGGGAAGGAGGCAGGTGTGAGAGTGGATTCCAATGACTACAAGAGCACTGGGTCACAGTAGGTGGATGAGCCTGTTTTCCACATGTAAGTGAAAATAATGGACAGATGATGTGTCTAGAGCGTCCCAGATTTAACACTCTGAGTTGTCAGTGGCAGTTCTACAGTTGTTGAACTAGATCTGTGTTTTAAGCAAAATATTGCAATAAATACTATTTTGAAAGAGGATGAACAATCTCTCCTGGAACTTGCAGTTCTTGCAGCTGACCAGCAGAGGGAAGGTCATGCACACTTCCTTAAAAGCAAGCTTCCATATCTCCCACTTGCTCACGGGGAGATGATCCCACAACTGAAACTGTGTTTGGACCATTTCATAGCAGTCACCCCAGTGGAAAGTTTTTTAGCATAATATTGGTTAATTTCACATTTGAAAACTGAAAAATAGTTCTTAAAATGTTATTTTGGCCGTGGGCCATGAATCTCTCTCAGTTCCGTTTTTTTATCTTAGTAGCCAGTCCTCCTTGGCCTCCCGTGTTGAGTTCTCTTCATCTCTTTACTTTGCACATTGTGTTACCACTGGAGCCCCAGTCTGCTTTCATTTATTTACACTCAACTTGCATTTCAGAATTGCTCCTGATAGCTCAGTCTACGTCCCTGGTGTCTAGAGTCCCTCAGATGCCTCTGCCTGAGGACATTACCAGCTGGAGGGCTGGCGACACCTCAGAATTCTACTATGTTCCATTCCAAATCTTCAGTCCCACCTGCCACTTACTGTTGCTTCCCTTCAACTTTCCTGGTCTCACAAAATATGGTTTCAAATTCTCTGGTTGCTCAAGTTGAAGCCTGTGGGACAGTTGTCCTGAATTTTACTTTTTTCTCACACAACACATCCAAAAAGACAGCAAAATTTATTTTTGCCTTTAAAATATGGTCACCATCTGTCTATGTTTCACCACAGCATCTAGTGGGTTAAGAGCCCTGAGACAGAACACATTTTTTATCTGAATAGAAGTATTAGAAGATTTCAAAGTAGGAGTTTTTGTATTTATCATGTTAGCTGTCACAAGGGCCAACAATGAACAATAGGTCTCATGTGTTCCAGTAATAAAACTGCTCATTTTTTTTCTTCTTAACACTGAACTTTGGAATTAATGGTATCAGTTTTTATACTAATGAAAAAGCTTATCTTATGGAGGTTTTGCACATATCATGATGGTGGGGTGATGTTCTGAATACTAGAACTATACCATTGTAACCTCTTGATTGCAGACAGAAGACTTGGAAACTGAGGTCCTTTGAGAACAAAATCCATTATATTTTGGTGAATAATGGTGTAAATCAGAGGCTCAAGTTGTCCATGAATCCCTGAACCAATTGGTATTAATCGTGGTGAGAAATTCCCAACAAGACCCTCACTTCCATTTTGTGTAGGTTTGTGAGTGTATCCTGTAGTGTTACTAGCAGATAAAGATGTTTTCTCAAGACTGAAAGATGTATTAGTTAGCATTTTGTTGGTGAGCCATAGACTCCATCCTGAATACATACAAAGAAACAAAAAATGTATGAGAAGTATACTGGTAATAGAAAATCAGCTGTCTTTTTTACTTTTTTCTCATTGCTGAGACAAAATACTTGATGCCAAAAATTAAGGAAAGAAAGGTTCGTTTAGCTCATAGTTTGTGGAGGCTTCAGTCCATAATCAGCTGGCTCCTAGGCAGGGTGGCACATGGCAGAGGGCAACAGCTCATGGTTGCAGAAAACAGAAAAAGCAACAAGAGTGAAAAGGAAGGAGCAGCAGCAAGCAAGCCTCTTCCTCCACCCTTGTATTGTATGCAGGCTCCCCGCCCACTACACCCAGTCCAGAGTGTCTGTATCACTCACACCCATAATCCCAATGAACCATGAGTGTAGCACTCACACCCACAATCCCATTGGACCATGAGTCAATCAAAAACTCTAGAAGCCCACCCCATGACTGCATGAGGCTTTGAAGGGACATTTAGACACAAACCATAACATCAGCTATACTGGGTAGTTTACTTTTTAAAATCATCTCTCCATTATTATAACAAATTAGTTGAGATCATCAATTTATAATACAAAACAGATCTACTTCACAATGAATTTCTTATGTGGTGGTTCTGGCTGAAGGTTTCTCTTCTGGTTGTGGTCTATATGTTAAGCAGAGTTACAACCTTCAAAAGACCTCACAGGGTGTTTTTAAGTTGGCCTGCTCATCAGGTGACAAGCCAGTCATCACCATGGGCAAAAGATTTCAGTCTCTTACTTTGTGAATCTGCCCATAGAGCCGCTTCGGCGTTCTCTGAAAAAGGGGTCAGGCTTCCTGTTTATACCTTAGACCCCATAGGAATGCACTATAAAGAGATTTAAATAATAATACAAATTTTGTGAATTTCTCCTTTCAGTTCCCACTCTTGGTGCTATTTAAAAGGTTTCTGGTCTCAGTTTCCTTTTGCCTGGAGATTTTAGCTCAGCATTTCCTGGAATGAACAATTTCCTCAGTGAAATCACTGAGGAAGTTTTCCTTCAGTTCTTTCATGTCCTGCATTTTCATTTCAGGTCTTATTTTTCTGGATCTAGAATTTTAGGTTAAATGTTGTTTCTTGGCACTTCCAAGATGTCATTCCTCCTCTCCTCCCTCCCCTCCTTCCTCCCTCCTTGCCTGCCTCTTCCCATTGACTGTCTTCCTTCTTTTCTCCCCCACCCTCCTCCAAACTGTCTCAGTTTCCAGTGTTCTACCTTTTTCTAAGGTTATAAATATGAGGAAACGAGTTCTTTAGTTTTGGATCCTAAGTCTATTCAAATTGCTTTGCTTTAAAATAGAAACTCTTTTCTAATTCATCTAGCAGCCTCTAGTTTTACAACCTGTAATTTGATCTTAGAATTTCCAAAGTAACTTCCTGGCCCATCACTACATTTTCTGTGATGCTGTGCTTGGCTTCTTGACTTCCTCTCTCAGCTCACTGGCCAGGCAATGTGCTCATCCATTTGCCCGCTGTTTTGTCTGTGCCCCTGCAGCCCACTTACTAAGAACCTCTTGCATGTCCAGGTGCAATACTGAGTAATTCATATGCTATTTTATTTATTTCTCAATACAACTTTATAATAGAGACATGGTTTTCATGTTTTAGAGGAGAAATTCAGAGGCTTGGGGGAAGGTTAAGTGATTTCCATAAGTAATACTCAACCTTTTGAAAGGCAGCATCAACAGTCTGTCCAGTCTCTTAGTGGAAACCCCATCAGTCACAACATCATGGCAAAGGGGCGGTGCTGCTCACCTCCTGGCACCCAGGAAGGAGCGAAGCAGAGCCAGAGAAGAATGGGCCAGGCGCGATACAGTTCGGAAGCTCATGTCCCTATAATCCATTCCTCTCAGTGTGGAGAATAATCCATTCCTCTCCTCCCCCATCTCCCTCTCTCTTTACCCAGGACTCAGAGCTGAGTACCCCAGCAGCTGAGCAAGGAACTCCATTCTGAGAAGCTGAACTGAGGAGCCCTGATCAGTCAAAGCAAGGTTAGAGCTGAGCTTTTATCTCAGATTTGTAAGGAAAAGTCCTCCCTGGGGAACAAAATGCAAATCTTCTGACGGGTGCAGTGACGTGGAAAGAGAGATCGTCATGGTGGGAGGCCTCTCGTGGGAGTCCAGCGACAGAAATTAGCCTCTCTGTTTGGA